TGGAGCCCCCGGCGCTTGCAGAAGCGGCCGACAGCGCAGCCTGTCCGGGGCACACGCTTCCCAGTACGAGAGGAAACGCAGCCCTGACCACTTCTACCTGCCCTTTTGGTCAGAAATTAACCGTTCCTTTGGCTGCTCCGACCAGCCCGTGCAGCGGGGCTCAGCCGCCCGCGGCGCCGCGCGGCACCGCACAGCCCCGGCGCAGCGGAGGGGAAATTCGGCAGCCTGTGACAGCGCGTTGTTCCATGGAACAACAGGCTGTCGCTGCAGGCTCAGATTAATCACTTCCCTCCAGCCCAGACACCTGGAAACCGAGCACTAAGCTTTTCCCAAGCGTTTGAAGTCCCAGTCTTCGCTGGTACAACACTGCAGGGCTGGATCTCGTGGGGACGCCTGCGTGACCCCTGCACCTTCCCCAGACCCCTCTGCCTGGTGCAACCGTGTCCGGGGAGGGTGGCTCGGGACCAGTGGTCATCCTGGCGTTTGAGACAGCGCAGATCTTACAGATGTGCCAGTCTCACCCTCCCCTACGTCTGCTAAAGCCGGGCGATGCCTTTTCTTCTGAGAGCAGCCCGGCCGCCTGCCCGAGCACCCTTCCTCCAGCGGGGCGGTCAGCGGCTGTCCCGTCAGCTCGGACTGCCAGGCAGCGGGTTGGCAGCTAAGGCTTACCCCTGCCACCCAGACAGATAAAAAACCATCAGAGAGCGCGCAGATCGGGGCAGCACACAGATCTCCACCAGCTGGATGCTGCAGACCACCAGGGAAGGCGGGAGCCATCAGCAGTTTTCGTTAGTTTTGCCTTTAGGGAACAAGAAATTAACTTCCAGGAGGGGCCAGAGGCGCTGCCGGACGCGGAGCACTGGCGCTCACTGCGAACGGAGGCACGAGACCATCTAACGGCGCTGTGCCGGCGGGCGGGGAAAAGGGCCCCGCCGCCCCCCCCGCTGCGATCACCGCCTGCTCGCGCCCCGGCCAAGGTGCCCATGTCGATGAGAGGGGGAACGGTCTGGAGCCCACGGGGCATTTCTCTGAACGCCCGCTCCCGGCTCTGCGGGTGGCACAGGGGCAGGGGAGGGGGTTTCTATGGAAATGGAAAAGGGAAAAGCTGTCTCAAGTAGCATCCGGAGATCCCGACAGGAACACGTGTGCCACAGGTGTAGCAGGCTGCAGTGGGGAGAAGGGGCAGCGGCTCCGTGCTCCTCACCAGACCCCGGCTGTGCCACCAGGCAAAGCGAAACCACGTCTTGACAAGCACATTTGCAAAGTAGAAAACAGGAAGCACTCGGGTAATTATTTAAGAAATAAACAGTTTTGCTTTGCAAGTTGTTA